GTCTTCCATGCATATTAAACTTCCCTCAATTAAAGCAGAACTAATTAAATAAAACTAAGGAAAGCTTTCAAGTTTATTTAGTCCATATTTATCTCCTGAAATCAATGCTAGAGGTATATTTGAGCAAGTTTTTGTACTTTTATCATCAATTATGGAAGAAAATGTGTTTTTTTTTTATTTTCTGGCACCTTAGGCATGGTGATGTCATTTGCTGTGTACAATGCACTTCCATCGAAAAATTGAGATTTTGTTTACCAATATGCTGGGCAGTTGACCCCATGTAGGACTTCTTAGCACAGAAAGATCAGTCATTGAAAAGAACACTGAACATTTGATTGTGAAAAAGTCAAGTTTCATCTTAGCCTTTTGGTGGCTTATTATGAACCTGCACATTCTCCTCATGTCACTTGGTTGTCATCTGAAATTCTCAAATTTTGATATCTCTGTCTCACTGAAATGTTCAAGTGGTAGTTCCACTGTTTGAAACTGATAGTTATTTGCTATTTCTTATTTTAGCTCTCTTTGCTGAGCTATTGGAAAGTTCTTAAAATAAACTCTAAATACCCATAAGTCATTTTACCACAGTTAGTTCTTGTAACAGAGAGAAATGCAAAACACCACTTACACCCAAGCCCATCACAGGAAGCCGAACCTCACTCAATAAGCTCTGTAAATACCAAAAACACATCGATCAAATGATCTCCTGCATATAGGGCTCCCCCCCCTCCACCTCACTCCTCCTAGCATTTCTTGTTTTTCTGATATTGAAGCAGGATTAAGGCTTAGCTGCAGTAAATTACAAATGAAAATTTTGATAACAGATGAACTTCTGTTTTGTTATGTGCTTAAGTTTTGTTCCCGTTGATTCTGTTCCAAATTTACTAGAATAAAATTCGATTTGTCAAGAGGTTTTAAAGTATAATTTAAAACCAGCCTAAAATTTGAAACGTATTTTAAACAGAACTGCGGTGGTTTGTTTTTTGTTTTGTTTTGTTTTTTTCGGTAATAAGCTCCCTCAAATATGGTCGATATAGAACTGAGCCTGATATGGACCCTTCTGTTTATAAGCCCTCCTAAAACCCCTTGCAAAGTTGTTTAAGCTCTGAGGTTATAAATGGCAGATAACCGTACATTTGTGTTGTGGAATTTTAAGGATTTGAATCAGAAGAAATTGTTGCATTCTTCACTCTAGGGCCGACGGCGCGCATTGAGTGTGGGGGTGGGGTGGGGGCTGATTGTAGCCTTTTTCTTTGTGAAACCCTCAGTTGGCGGAAATAAAAAATCAAAAGGCAACCGCGCGAGAAACGGCAGCGACCAGGGAATCGTGACCAGCGGTTATCACTCGCCTGGTCCTTTGCTTGTCACCTGATCCATTCACTCTGAGTCTGAAACAGGCTCCTTATTTTGGGAAAAATTGCCGGTTTGATGAAACTGACAACGATTTAATAAAGATAAACACATGATTCAAATTTACCCTCTGAATAACCATAGAGGTCTAAGGAATCCAACTATACAGAAAGGTAAAGACCTCAAATAATGATCCCGTGACAGTTGGGAAATTCGATTTACTATATCAAGGTCACGTGAGGATTCTAAGCAGGCGAATGTCACGATTACATAATCAAATTCAACAACAACAACAATAACAACAACAACAAATGTTATTTATTTAAGCTAATAAGTTAATTACAATGCTTGGGTCCGCAAGTAGCTTGGGCTATTCGAGGCGGGCACAAGAGAGGAAAAAAAGAAGAGAAGAGAATTGTATAGAAAATGAATATTTATATTTGTAAATGGACATTATAATGGACAGAAAAAAACAAACAAACACACAAACAAAAAAGGAGCAAAAGAAATGCACATGAGCTTAACCAATTGATTGCTCATGGTAAATTAAATATAACGTCCATTTGTGGTGAAACATATTTGCATGAGACCGAGTAGGAGAGTGGAGTTCTCCGCAGAAGATCAAATCTGCGCCTTTCTTTCCGTCAGTGCTTTAATAGACAGATATGCCCTTGAGTCGCCTCATTGAAGGCGAGGTCACGATACTGGTGGCGTTCCTCAATCTTATTCGGTTCGTTCGTAGGTTATTGTTGATATAAATCACGGCATGGAGGGTGACACATGAAAAGCACTTGGATAACATGCGACTATGACGCGGTAAAAGGTGAGATCAGACGATTATACAGTGGTGGGGAGGGGGTGAGGGCCGCTTTAATCACTTGTTTTAGGGGAACTTTTTGGTTAAAGAAAGCAATTTTGCTCATAATAATTTGTCGTAAAGAAAATTATAAAATATTCAAAAGAACGCGAGATACGAATGGAAAAGCGGTATTGGCACCGAATAGCAATAAGTGACATAATCCGAAAGGCCTCCAGCCGGAGTGTCACGTTCTTCGCGGCCTTAATATGCAGATTTTGTTTACATTGCCTGTTGCACCGCACAATAGAAAATAATTTCTGTCACATTTCGAAAAACATTGCCAAATAAAGGTCTTTATGAAACTACCAAAAAGAGATAATTCATCTTGACTAAAATGTAAAATAAAGTGTCGGCTACAGAAATTGAAAGAAGATTTTTCTTTTTTCCCAGCTTTGATCAATGCCTTGCCGACTTTTCCTTCTGTTTGTTTTACCCGTTGAATTTTTGGACTTTTTTTTCTTCATTATAGATTCGTTTTCCTAGCGACGTCGCGAAATTACATTTTTCGCGAACTTCTATGGACTTCCTTGTCACAACAGACTGACTGCGACCGTGATTCGAAAGAATGTTTCGAAGAATAAAACTAGTGCATCAGTAAGAAATTAAACACACCAGCTTTATTCTGAAATCATGATTTCTAACCAGAGTAGTTATGTCTAATGTAAAAAGTAATAGCTCTCCTTGAACTTGAGATAAGTGTAAACAATGTCCTAACTCGTGAAAGTTCGTGCTCCAAATTACAATAAATTAACAAGGCAGTGAGTTGATGCGTCATTTTAACGCTGATATCTCAAAGTATCGCTACTGTACTTTTGAAGTTTGACAAATCATTCTGCAGAGAAGAGGCATGAAGTTCTTTTCCACTTTTTCAAACACAGGCCTAGCAGTCGTCTATTTGGCGGTATTTCTCTGCCCAGTAAGTGACTTATTTTTGTACAGATTTTCAATACGTTTCCGATGTAAACATCGGCGAAATTAGTCAGAACTGAAAAAGCAGACAAATTGGGCGAGACAATTAAAAAATATGTCTACAACGCCTGACTAAACGCAAAATGTTGAATAAGTACGCTCAAATAACATCTCTTTGATGCGAGTTTTATTCATCGCAGTTTAGCAGAGCTGTTGTAATTTTTTGGTTTGTTTGGAGCTGCTGGTTCAGTGCGTGGTAGTTGGGCCATATTTCGGTTAACTCGACATTCGTGATGGCTACTTCCCCTTAAGAATTTCCAAGCAATTTTTGATGTCTTGAATATTCAACATACGTTATTGATATCTCTGAAAACTGAGCGCCATCAACCCTTAGAATATTTGTTTTTCTTGGCCTCAGAGTTTCCAGTTTTTAATAATTGTATATTTAATTTTCCGCTTTCTTAGGTCACTCCTTCATGTTGTTTCCAATCAGCGTGTAAAACGGACCCCTGCAAGTCACAAGTAAGTTACGTGGATTCTCAAAGACGAGCCAGGAAAACTGGATCGAGTTCACAGACTCGAAGCTACTTTTCGAGAGACAACCTTTGCCATTATCATCTGATATTTTTTGAGTACCATGGCACAAAATGACAGTTTGGTTTTATTAACTGAGTTGATAATGTTAGGTGGCCGCCCTTCGTCAGAGCGCACTTAAATTCGTACTTGTTGGAAACTAACACGTTAAAGAAAGGCCAAACGAAAAACAAATGAAGACAAAAACCTTGTTTGCCTTCTGATAACATTTTTCCCAAAACTCCTACCAGTAAGCTTCTACTCGATGTTTCCTTACTCGGAACTGGTCAGCTCAGACGACCACAACAAACCGTATAATATTATCCAAGCTTTAATAATTATTCGATCGAAGAGAAATACATTTTTTTTTTCACTGCATTATCGCAATAGGGTAGGACTAGAACGGAACATATGCGATCCATGCGAGTAGTCCACCCAATAAATCCCACCCATCCCACCCCAGGGGAGGACATCCATCACACAGCAATCTCGTCCGCGGGAAATTAACGTCTCCCGCCCCNAAGTGGCTGCCAGAGGCGCCTGATATGTTGACGTCTTTTCTCAACCTTAAACTGCACCCGTAATTCAGCCTTAAGCTACAAGCGGTCAGAAACACTATATTATTATTATTATTATTATTATTATTATTATTATTATTATTATCTTCTCAAGTATGATTATTATCTTCTCAATTATTATTATTATCTTCTCAATTATTTTTACGACCTAGCTTGAGTGTTGGTCCGGTCGGGGCTTGAACCCTCGACCTCCCGCACAGCAGTCCAGCGCTCTATCCATTGAGCTAACCGGGAGGCTAGCTTGTAATTGGAAATCAGTAAAGTACAAATTAAGTCTTAATCTCGTAGCAAAATTCAAGAAAAACATGATAAGAAATTTACTTCTGTGGCGGGTCGTAAAAACAGGTTTCTCACTTCAGGCAAGAGCCATTTCGAGTAAGCGAACAAATATAAAAACCGATTTCTCTCTCTTACTGATTCTTCTGAAAAAACTGGTTTAAAACACGACAAGCTGACACTTTCAAATAATTGTAAGGAATTAATGTTAATCACGAGTTCTGTTAATAAAAATATATCTGTCATCAAAGGCAACACCTATTTACTAAACGAAACACTCAATGTAAATGGTCCAGTTTTCCAAGCTTACCCAAACAAAAGAAGTTAAGACCAAATTATGCAACATCTTCATTCATATTTCATTGGTATTTTTTTAATTGATATAAGCTGCTCAACAACTTTTAAGTTAACTTGTCAATGTTCCTTCTTTACAGCAAAAAGTTATCTTTCATCAAACCATGACTCCATCTTGGCTGGAGGTGCATGCGTCCTACATTGACAGCTCGCGCTCGCTGACTGCTGCACAGCTCACATTCAACGCAAGCTCTACCGCGAACCCCGCTCTCCTTAAGGTTCCTATGATTCCTGCTGGTGTGCTTAAAGATTCAATACCGCTGACTGTTGAGATCACGGTCGCACATGACATCAGTTTACGGTCGACTGACAGCGATATTCGATATGGCGTATCAGATGGTATCAGAATGATCGGATTTGAAACATGTGACATAGGTAATTATATTAACAGTTCTCCATGCTACGGAATAGAAGGTGCTTCTGGTCCCACCTTAAAGTCTATTCGTCTCGAATTGACCACACCGAAACCCTCCGAATCTTTCTACCCCGGCCAGTTTATCATCACTCTCAAGCTGGATGAACGCTGGGGGTCATGCTACACTGCGCATGACGGAGGCTTCGTGAGGACCGCCGGCTACAACAACCGACTGATGCTCAGTAAGGGACTCACTCTAGAGGTGTACAAAAGTAACAAGGATGAAAAGGTTGGAATCAGGTTTATCAAAGTCTCCATCATAGAAGATGATGCGTAGGAGAAAAAGCTTTCACAAAGAATTAGATCGAAATCAACAGATTGAGAGAAAGTCGAGAATTGTTTTAGAAAGGTAGCCTACATTAGAGTTGCAAAACTGATACGCTAAGAGCTTTCTTTTATTTTACTTTTTTTTGTAAGTTTCACACTTTAAATTTAAAGGGGTCACTTGGTAAACTGCGGCTGGAAAAGTAACAAAAAATGGGGAAAATGTGTGGTAGCTTTGATCAAAAAATAAAGGCAGAATAAAAAAGAAGCTTCTTTCGTCCTGTTTGAGACTTAAAGCAAGCTTGCGCTGCGCGCTCGTTCGATTTTGAACCCACTCCTAGGATTTCAGACCTAATTGCACTCTACTCAGTTCAATTACCATTAAATTTAAAAATTACGGCGAGGAAGGCGAAACATGAAAAATAAAAAACCTCACACCGACACTATGTAGTCCCACTTCGTTACATTTTAATGTTATGAAAGTTTGATTAGAGTATAAATTGAAGGTCATTTTGGCAAACTCTTTGATGGCAAGTTAGTCTTTTAACTTGTTGAATAAATAAGAATAAATAAGTTAGTCTTTTAACTTGTTGAATAACACGTTTATTATTCTTGTTAGAGAAACGTTTTGTACAAGTATACTGGTGTCACTGATTTGGTATTTAATACTTAGGCATCTTTGGATAAACACGAACACGAAATTGACTTCTTCACCGCAAAACTCATGCGCTTACCTCTTTTAAGACAATGCAATATAAAGTCTTATTCATGATCTATCATTTATGTACCACCACTTAGGCAAGTCTTGAAATCTTCTAGTCGACCTTTCATAACTGAACACACGACGAGTCCTGTGTGATGGCCACCTTGAGAAACTTCATCCCAGCCCTCTCACTTTTATCGGTCTTCAACTTCCTGAGTGAGCCCCTTGCTGACCTTCTATTGGTTAATGTGGCAAGCAGTCTTTACAAAGCCATGGTCCTGCGCAGTGTAACACGAACCCATCGCTGATTCAACTTGAACGTAAATACAAATCGGTCGGGGTAGTACGAGTACTTGTTGACCTTCAGGAACTTTGTGTTTTTGTATTTTACTTCCGTCAGTGCATCTCCAGATGTCCCTTTAATCCCGTAACAAAGAGACTGACGCGCGTACCTTCTAAAATATTATTATTTATTTATTATATTACTATTTCATTTTAGGTACATTAAGGATTGTATGGAAACATCCATCTTTGTTTTGATCTGCAATTCCAGAGCCTTTATTGACCTCTTTTGAACCAGAGTCTTCATTAACCTGTTTTGAAACAGAGCATTTATCTGGCTCTTTTGAGCGACAGTTTTCATCGTTGTAGTTCCTAAGAACTGCCATTGGAAGTGGTAATGGTAACCATAAATGATAGAGCCTCAAAGATGTGCCATGGGTTTTGATACGTCGCAGTCTTGACAGGGATGACAAAGCTGCTTCTGAAAGATAGAAGCTACCATCATTGGTGAACTGGCTTTACTACACCTACTCATTTATACAAATATCATTTATTTTAGTTAAATGCATTTGATGTGAAATATAAGTAACTTCCCACAGCTGATAAGAATGTCTGTTCTAACTACCTCCTTGATGAGTAATGTAGTAATATTGCAAAAAGAGGCTACATGTAAATCAGTTTTGACAAAGAGGATTTGTATGACAATCAAGAGCTGTTTTAGTTTGTCATCATTTCCTACATTCTCATGACCCTAAGCTTTCAATTCAGCAGTGATACTGTAAGGAAAAATTAGATGCTGGTAGTCTCAACCTAGGAACTTTTACCTGGTAAATTTGAGCAGTGAGTGCAGTGTGGATAAAATCTTTGCTGTTGTCCTCCTCTGACCAACTTATTTAGGGGCATATGATCCCCAACATAAGACGTCCACCATCGCCTTCCACAGGAATAGCAGCCATGTTTCCTTCCTACACAAAACACATTGATAAAGTGCTGTAAATATGGTGATTATATTGACCCAACTGGGGATAAATGCCCAGTGCTAGCAATTTCCAAATGAACAGGACTTTTCCATTGCGCGTAAACGAATACTGTTGACAGCAAGACTCACCTAACAAACGAAGTCTCTTTAATTTTTCAGCAGCAGATGCATAATCCTGCCCTTTAGCTGGAATGTACTTTCTAGCAAATGCTCCTGGATGAGTCAAACTGCTTGGCAACACTGATCGAAATCGTCCTCCCAGGATTTTAATCACGACTAAACTCCCAAATCCACAAAGTGGAACATCTTCGGGACGCACTGAAATCGCTAACGAATATTGGTTGAGAGAATGCACATACGCATAAAGTTTACTTGGTAGAATTTTTATGCCATTCCTTTTCTTCCATCAGTACAGAGGCTTAGCCTATGATAGCCTAGGCGATTTTCATAAAGCTATCGAATACCATGAGCGTCGTCCACAAATTGCAAAAGAAGTGGGAAACAAAGCTGGAAAAGGAAGGGCCTATGGAAATCTTGGAAATGCCTATCATAGCTTAGGCGATTTTCATAAGGCCCTCGAGTACCATAAGCGTCGTCTACAAGTTGCAAAAGAAGTGGGGGACAAGTTGGAAAAGGAGTGGCCTATGGAAATCTTCGTAATGCATATTGTTACTTAGGCGATTTTCATAAGGCCATCGAGTACCATGAGCGTCGCGTACAAATTGCAAAAAGAAGTGGGGGAAAAAGCTGGAGAAGGACAGGCCTATGGAAATCTTGGCATTGCTTATCTTAGCTTAGGGGATTTTCATAAGGCCATCGAGTATCATGAGCGTCACCTAAAAGTTGCAAAAGAAGTGGGGGACAAATTTGGAATTGCGACATCACTGAGTAATCTTGGTAGCGTTTTTGAAGAGCAAGGATCTTTTTCGAGAGCCCTAGATTGCCTTAGTTCCAGTTTGTCAAAGTTCAATGAAATAAGAGCTCATCTCCAGTTTAAAGACGAGTGGAAAATTAGCTACCGAAATACGTATAATAGTGTATACGATAGACTGTGGCATCTACATCTAAGACAGGGTGAAGTTATGGATGCCTTGCGTGTTGTCGAGGATGGGCGGGCGCGGGCCCTGAGAGATCTCACTGAGGCAAAATATGGGTGTCAATGGGTACACTCTTGGTCTCACTCAGTAAATTCGACTGGTCCTTATCTCAGCTCCATTCCATCAACAACAGTTCTTATAGCCCTCAGTAAACAAGAAATTATTTCTGGGTTATAAGGAAGGATGAAGAGGTCGCCTTGAGAAGAAAAGAGATTGGTGACTATGAATCAGAAAAAGACGCCAGAACTTTCATTTTGACTTTAAACCAAAATGCCTTGAAAGAAATTGGTGTACGCTCGGGCGTTAAAATCGAAAATCTTTCGCTTGATGAGGCGCGTGGCGTGGAATGGTCGACTGAAAGGGCCCCTTTCAGTGATTCTTGGCGTGATTTGCCGAAAGGAAGCCTAAGGAGCTTTTATGACTTCATCATTGCTCCTGTCACTGACCTGGTTCATGGAAATGACCTCATAATCGTTCCCGAAGGTCCACTTTTTTTGGTACCTTATGCAGCATTGATGAACCCAAAGCAGGAGCACCTGTATGAGTCGCTAAGGATCAGAGCCATTCCTTCTTTGACTACTTTGAAATTACTTACTAATTGTCCAGCTGACTTTCATAACAAGACCGGCGCAATGCTAGTGGGTGATTCAATGCATAGAAGAAGTTCTTTATGAAAGAAGAAAGTTGTGTGAGCTGCCATATGCAAAGAAAGAAGTAGAGATGATTGGCAGAATCCTTGAAACGGCTCCCCTCAACGGAGAAAACGCCACTAAATGTGAAGTTTTGCAGCGAATATCCACGGTGGCTTTAGTGCACATCGCTGCACATGGAAAAATGGAAACAGGAGAAATTGCCTAGGCACCAAACCCTGTTCGGGAATCCCATCATCCTGATGAAAAAGACTATTTGTTGACGATAGCGGATGTGTTGGAAGCTGAACTGCAGGCGAGATTGATTGTATTGAGTTGCTGTCATAGCGCTCGTGGGGAAAAAAAGGTCGAGGGGGTAGTTGGCATTGCTCGAGCATTCGGAAATTTAGGCGCTGGGTCCCGTTCTGTTTTGATATCCATGTCGTCGATTGATGACGAGGTCACTTTCCAGCTCATGAAACATTTCTATGAAGAACTAGTTAAAGGAAGGAGGGTCAGTGAGTGTCTTCACTAAGCCATGAAATGTATGAAAGAGTCCGAAAGGCTCAGGGAAGTAAAGTTCTGAGCACCATTTGTTCTAATTAGGGATGATGTCACTCTTTAGCTGAATGGAGCCGATGCAGTCTAGATGCTGCTCAATGTAAATATGACTTGTTTAAGTATTTTTGAAGGGCAAACAACGGTAGTACTAAATGTATAAAAACAATTAAGAATGGCTGCCTGTAAGGATCGAGAATCGTCCGTCAGCGACCATTTTGGTGAATTTCTCATATTTTGCCCAACGATACCTTTTGGTAAACTGTTTTAAAAAATCAAGTTTAAAAGTTCCGACGAGTGTTAATTTTTCAGAAATTTGCGAAAATTTGAAAACGCGGTTTAAGTGCGGTTTTCCGCCTGGCAAATTGTCCAAAATTCACTGCAAAACCCAAGCTCCGTTGAAGGCTTAAAATGAATTCAGTTAACACCAAACTTCACACGTTTTAAGAAAAAGTCTTCCCATTCATTTGTGTTATGTTAATTTTTTCCGTACACAGCTATATTGTGATTTTTTTTTTTTTTGTCCCTTAAGCAACACCCTCAAAAAGTGCTGTACATGGGGCGAAAAATAGGTAAAATTTAACGCGATAAAAGTATACCTGGTACATAATTTTTTAAATTTTTAACTAGATATTCGTAATAAAATGTCATTATTCAATACCTGAGTAAAATTTGAGGCTTTGAATCGGAACGCTTCCTTTTNAACCCACTAATTGACCCTTGCTCACCATAGAGTCTCCTGTAGCTCAGTGGTTAGAGCATCCGACTAGATCACGGAGGGTCGTGGGTTCAAATCCCATCTGGAAACTCGATTTTTAAAAATTGTTTATTTTCATCTTTACATGCTCACTTTGGAGGCTGGTTGGCTGCATGTGATGCTTTAATGCATGTGATGCTTTAATGTGACAGCGTGATGCTGTTAGTGAGCTTATATGCGCTAGCTGATGTTTGGCTGTGTAGCCGCGTGATGCGGTTCCAGTCAAAACCCACTAATTGACCCTTGCTCACCATAGAGTCTCCTGTAGCTCAGTGGTTAGAGCATCCGACTAGATCACGGAGGGTCGTGGGTTCAAATCCCATCTGGAAACTCGATTTTTAAAAATTGTTTATTTTCATCTTTACATGCTCAATTTCTTCTCTGTCTATTTTAGAATGTCAAAACTATCAAAGCCTAACAGGGGCAGACAGAAGGATCAATTACACCAATCAAGACACGATTTGTGATAATGGACTTAAGGGTTGATACCGTTTTAAGGGAGCAGCCGGCGCAAGAATGCCTACCTCATGTCCTCCTAAATACCGATGTGACTCCCATGTACCCGCTTGGGTTAATAGTACGATTCTAGCATATGAACTTGTTTCATTAATACTAGTTATACATTTTATTAATACCATATATACATTTTCGTAGTATAGGTAATTTATTATCATCTTATTGCTCTAAATTATTGTGCTTGTCAGCGTTTTTTCCTTTGTATATATTTTCATCCAACATCTTTAACTTCATAGTAAAGTTATTTGGTTAGTATATTCATAAAATATTTATTGCCTGCAAGGGGAGCCGTAAAAAAAGAGTGTAGGTATCTATTAGACGAGAACAATCAAACTCAGGCTTAGTTAATAGTATTCAAAGAAACTGCTCACGACATTGTACCTTCACTTTGCTTGTCATTTAATCGATCACTCAGCTCTGGCACCATGCCAAAGGAATGAAAACTGGCCAACTTAGTCCCTGTTTTCAAAAAAGGCGATCGTCAACTAGTAGAGAATTATCGACCAATATCTCTACTACCCATAGTTTCTAAAGTATTGGAAAGATGCATTCTGAATAACATCCAAACTCATCTATACAAACACGTGGGTAAACATCAACACGGCTTCTTAACAGGAGAATCTTGAACCATCAACCTCATCGAAACATTGGATCGTATTGACCGCCTGCTTGATAGAGGAAGTCAGATTGACGTCATCTATCTGGACATGTCAAAGGCCTTTGACAAAGTGAACCACGCCCAACTCTTGTCTAATATT